GTCGTGATTGATTTATTAGAAATATGGTTTTTTTTTGCACAATATATTTACAAAAGATAAAATCCGTCTGGTCAACATGACTTCAGTTTCCGTTACTATAACCAAAGTTCCAAAACCGCAATGCCGAAAATGGATACAACTAAGAATGATTATATTTATAATAATAATAAAACTTATTTTATGACTTCACATACACGTAGTTAAAATTGTGTATTTAATTACTGGATTAATCTTTAATTCTGATCTACGTTGGTAGCTTACTTTGATCAGAAGTTATCGATCAAAACCACCAGAGCGACCACGTAGCAACTAAAAAGTCCGATCGTACACGACATGATTAGACTTCACCTCTCCATCAGTTTGGCATTTAATATTTAAATATTAGACACAAGAAAATTTAATATATTGGGACGATTATAGATTTTTCTCTCTCTAAATATCAGTCAACATCTGGCAACTCAATCTTCGAACTAAATCAAACCTCCACCAACCGCCAACGTCAAGCCCTCTAGTGAGCAAATAAATCATCCGTTTTTATATTCATGAATTGATTCTACAACTCCAACATGTCAAATAATTTGTTGGTTTCCGTGATAAAGTCAAGTACCGCTACTAATACTACAACTTAATGTTACACACAATACTCACTGTCTTAGCTCGTTCCATCTCTTCTAGTTTAATTAGTGTGCCACACATGACAGGGGTGGATTTTGTTGGTTATTTCGCTATTCGACGGCTGTCTGCACCAGCCTCCCCTAATCTTGAAGTGACATACTAAAGGGAATGCAGCTAGTCAACATCATTCACCGCCAAATATTGGGCCCACTGTTTACCAACAAATAGTGGGATTGACTGTTACGTAATAACGCCCTTATGGCTGAAGAAACGAGCATGTTGGGTGATACGACTCGAGCTCGCGACCCAAAGATTGCGAGTCGAGTGCCCTAACTAGGGTTAACTAGATTTACGAATGTCTGATATTTTTATTACTTAATCTTATCCCCCCCCCCCGAAAGGAGAACAGCGTTATGTTTAGCACTAATAAACGAAACTGAAAGAAAAAAAAACGTCCTAAGTTGACATATGGATAGTAGTTCTGACTTTCGGGTAATCCACCCCCCCCCCCTGGTGTAATCGAGTAGAACTAAGACACCCTGGTGCATGTTTTCAAATATAATCAAGTCAGGGCAAACAGCGAGAAATCAGGTTTACTCAGACACGTGCCTATAAAAATATAAACCGGCTATAACTTTTGTTTGTATTTGAATGACAAGAACTACGCATGCGTTTATTCAGATACATTGTGTTCCTGTAACAAATTGGATGGTAACCCAACATCAGCGTCTTAAAGGCCACTTTTCGTTAGCCGTTTAAAGATTTAATAAAATGAATCACAATCGCTATCACTTTCTGCTTAAGTGTTTGCTTGTATGTATGCAGCTTTGCCACGAGCGCTGCAATAGTGCGTGTAATTCTTTTAGCAATTCCATTTCGAGCAAAAAGTAAAAAAAATTAAAAAATATACAAATAAAAAGTTTTTATTAACAGATTCGACTTATGCCCTAACACTCATTGACATGCATCAATTTAAACTTGGCCGAATAAGCGTTAGATGTGTGTGTGTGTGGATATATACAACACAGACTACTGTAATGAACACGAAGAACTTTCTCTGAAGGCAAGCGAAGATCGATTAGTCACTGGCGACACCTGTATTTCAATGATTCAACTAAATATCAAACCTAACTATAACCTCAGTTTTTGAAAACTTAAATTTTAATAAAACACGTTTCCTTATTAGCTCGCTTTTTTTTTTAAATCTATAGATAACAGGTATAGAAATTGTAAACTACGTGCCGTATTCGCTTCTTTACGTACATAGAGATATTTCAATAAATGATACAAGTTTCAAAAGTTGATAATTATCTTACACGGGAAAGTATTTAATTAAAAAAAAGATACAAACCTTTCTTTAGGAACAATTAGCTCGCATTATATGAAAATCAAACAATTTTAATGCTAAAACAATATATTTCATTAGTCCTAACGAACAAGAAATTGACGTTAAAGTGGTGTTAATGACTTAGGGTCACGTTATACTATAACTAAAGAAACAGGTCTGTTAGTGATAACCGATATAAAATCCCAAGTTTTCCTTCATAATTTCAGACGGTTATTATCTATACGATATACAGAAGTAAAAATAATAAAAAAAAACCTGAAAAGTATTAACACTTGAGGCGCCAGCAACGACACCTTAACGAAAGACGTAAAAAGTTTTATATCGGGAAATAAAACGATCTGGAAGAATGGTATACTTTAAAAATAGAAACAAATTCTACCACAGTGACTGAAGGAAGTATAATTTATGTCTGCCAGTAATCTAAATCAGAGCGAGCTCATGTAATCCGTGTTTAACTTGGTTTGGATTCACATTTTATTACATTCCTTTAGGGCTAAGACACGAAGCTACCATATAAACGTACGTACGTATCTCCCGGGGCACTTGGTTCGGCTGCTAAGAACAGCACTGGGAAAGTATTAAATTTACACGAAAAACTTTAAAACACAAACGAAATTATTAGCGCTTCTGACCCTCGGTCCCGTCTTTTGTAGAAAACCCGATTTACGTTTAAAAACACTTCAATGACGCATTTTTTCTAAATACTAAACTTATTATAATTCATAGTTGTTGATTTTATGAAACCGGGCCAAGTAAAAATTCGTTTCTCTCGGACACACCATAATCCAAAAGCTGGCATATATGGGATCACGTCCCCAGCCAGTCTTAAGAAAGCTCTATCAAAGCGTGTAGTTTCAGGAAAACCCTATCGACACAATTTTGTCCATTCAAATACAAGTAGACACTTGTTTCCGTGGGTTAATTAGCATTGTGTTCCTTACTAGCTGTACAATGGTCCGTTCAAACACACGGGAACAGAGATCGTCAGATCAGCAATACAAATAACTGTGACCTAATTCCTATATCTTTACACGTGCTGTCAGATTTTCAACAACGTTTATATGGTTAAATTTTCCTAGGGGAACCTATCAAAATCTCAGTCTAGAATACAACTGGAAAACTTTTAAAAAACCTAATCCAGTAAATAAAAGGTAGGAAAATAATACACGCGAAGTTCAAACTAATTTATAATTGAAGAAATGTTTCGTGTTGAGACTTGTCTTGCACACACACACACACACACACACACTAGGAGTGGAGTATCGTATGGACTCAACATTGTCTGTATGGTACTTCTGAGTAACGTCTCCAATATTTCGTTTGGTGTAAAAAATTAATATTGAATCCGAAGAAAAGCTGCAGATAAAGCCACTTGAAAACAAAACTATGCTTTATATGGACTAAAAAAAACACACACGGGCTATTAGGAATAATATTGTATGGGATTTAGATTGATTGGCTTCTAGAATGGAGTACTTCTTACTAACCTGTTATAGACACTTAAAAAAAAACAAACTTCGCGTTGACTTGCTTCCCCACAAAATTAAACTTGTGAGAGAAAAGTTTTTTTTGGAACCACATAATTATTTGTTTGTTCTTATGCACAAAGCTACACAATAGGCTATCTGTTCTGCGTTCTAAGTTTTTATACTTACCGCTCAACCGCCGCGAGTCTACAATTAATTAATCGAACATTGTTCAGATAAATTACAGAATAGGGGATAAAAAAAAAACTTGTTTTAAAACATATACACAGTTAAAAGTTATTTAAACCTAACTCACAGCTGTCAGTGACATATCAAAAAACAAAAAATGTGTGACTAAAATATGATGGCAAATTCAAATTAAAGTCTTAAAATAATGATGTCTGAAACAAAACCAGAAGTCTGACATGGTGTGACAGGACCCGGATACGAATTTACTCAATCAAGTTTCATGTCTAAAACTTTATGGAAAATGATCGACCAACTTAAAGATATTTTTAGTTATATATTTTACAGTATAACTATAATGATTTTATTTTACTTTTACGTTTTTATGCATAATCAGTCAAACGAGTCCGAGTTTACGTCAGTATCTTTTTTAATTCCACATTAAACTTGGCGAGAATTTCATACTTTGAGTGTAAGTGAATGAACGATATTATCAGTTTTAACTTACTAAGTTATTACAGGTTGAAATTCCATTAACATCGGAAGTATTATTGGACAAAATAAGAATAAACATGCATCAGTCATTAGATTTAGAATCCCTAGGCCTACAAATTAGTACAGTTTACAAATTCGACTTATAAGTTATAAATATTCTTGGCAATGAATTAACAAACTGAACAGACGTTTGGGGGCTTAAAAAAGCTACTAAGTAACGATAGAATATACCAACAACAAATACAACTTATTAGGTTACGGGTCAGATTGCAAGCACCTGGAAATTTAAAAAAGGTACAAAATATGACGTCATACGCTTACAGTGTTACACTGTAAATTGCATTACTGTGCTACGTTTTATAAAACGTAAGTCACGACAATTGAAATAATTTAGTAAAAATATTCGCAACAACTTACTGTTTTATCTCCAATCTGCCCCATTGTAAAAAGATTTTCTTTCAAAGCTTGTCAAAATTGGTCGTTGAAGCGGAGACAAAGAGGCACGGACTAGGCCTAACGAGTTTCAGAATTGTCAGTGTCACGAAAAACTTCTTTGTTCACGATTTACCTCTGACTTCTAACTTTATTCAGAATGACCGGCTTATTAAGTACCCAACCTTTAGGTTAATTCAAAACAATTAGGAAGAGTACAGAAGTTGTTTATATAATAAAACCAAAAAGCTGAAATTTATATCTACGCGATCAAGTGTTGTCTCTACTCTAGAGTAAATTTTTCTGGCTTGTCAAAGAACAGTGAGGGAAATTATTACTTCGCTGCTTTACTTTAACTTAGTTTAATACCGTAATTACTCTGTTCTTTAATATGAATCACCTTAAAATGACGCAAGTAATGATAACCCAGAGTTAAATGTTTAAGCTTCTGAATTTAATAGTAATAACCAACTCAGTCAACATTCTCTCCCAAGCCAGATATCAAGCGAATGCCGGTAATTTCGCTAAGCAACAACGGACAAACAGCTGAGCGGGTCAGCTGGCTCAGGAGATTGAAGCAAGCCAATCATAACTCAGAACGTGCCGATACAGCCAATCACAAATAGCGGCTACAAACGGAGCAACTGTATCGTGGATTGCATCATTTAGTCGGACGAGCCTATATTTCCATTACAGGTGAGGAAAGTAGTTGCTGCTCGCCACCATGCGGCAAGGTTTGAATCAACAACGTTCAGAACAGCAAGTCAAACTAACATAAGAACGATGTAATGAGTATCGCATACAGAAAAAAAAACCATAATTATATGAACACTACTCTTTTGCCAAATTTCTTGGCCTTACAACGTCAGATTAACACAGACCAAGAACGTTGAATATATTAGCATGCGAATTTTTTTTAAAAAAAGTACCAATTTATAAGACCTAAATCATATCAATCAGGGAACATGTCTGTCTTGCCTTGTTAAATAATCCATAACTAATTAATAGTAATAATGGCTGGAGACGGCTTGAATTGGTAATGAAGAAAAACTTTAATATACCCCTGATGATGACAAAACCTTGTGGAAACGTTGTACATTTGCTGTTATGTTAAACTTATATTAA